AACTTGAGATCTAAAAGGATAATTGAATTTAACACAATCAATCTTATAAATTTAGTAAAGTCTCAGATCATACTTTAGAAAATTATAAGAATTTCCAAGTCCAGAATGAAAGGAGACTCACCTAGCACATATTTAAAAATAAATAAATTTTAATAGACCTTAGCAATCTTAATGGGCTCAATGAGTCAACAACATAATGTGGCTGCCAAAAAGCTACTGTGATTAGGAACTAACCGCACCAACATCAGTATCCCATCCAGAAGGAATGAGGCAACTGCCCTCTCTGCTACAAGCTGGTTAGAGCACATCTGGAGTATTATATTCAGCTCTGTTCCACATTTTGGGAGAGACACAGAAAGACTGAAAAAGACTAGAAGAGGGCCAGGCACAGTGGCTCATGCCTGTAATCCCAGTATTTTCGGAGGCTGAGGTGGATCACTTGAGGTCAGGAGTTCCAGACCAGCCTGGCCAACATGGTGAAATCCCGTCTCTATTAAAAATACAAAAAGTAGCCAGGCGTGGTGGCATGCACTATAATTCCAGCTACTCAGGAGGCTGAGGCAGGAGAATTGCCTGAAACCATGACGCAGAGGTTGCAATGAGCTGAGACGGCGCCACTGCATTCCAGCCTGGGCAACAGAATGGAACTCCATCTCAAAACAAAAAACAAAAAAAACTATAAGAGAAGTAACCAAGATAGTGAGAAAATTTGAAAACATGTCACATAAAGACCAGTTGAAGGAGCTGAAGTTATTTAGCCCAGACTGAGAGGGATTATGATCCCTGTCCCCAAATCTGTAAGAGTTGTCGAGGCACAGAGACAGCCAACTTTTTCTGCATGGTCCCAACAGGCAGAGCCAGATCAATCAGTTAACTAAAAGAAGAAATTTCAGCTAAGCCTATGGAAATATTTCTTCAAATGTAGAGTCACATTAGGAAGTAGTGGCATTTAAAGTCCTGTCTAACCCTAAGGGTCCATAATTTTAAAAATCAAACATTTGGGCCAGCCCGCGGTGGCTCTTGCCTATAATCTCAGCACTTTGGGAGACTGAGGTGGGAGGATAACCTGAGGTCAGAAGTTCGAGACCAGCCTGGCCAACGTGGTGAAACCCCATCTCTACTAAAAATACAAAAACTAGGCGGGCATGGTGGTGTGCACCTGTGATCCCAGCAACTGAGGAAGCTGAGGCAGGAGAATCGCTTGAACCCAGGAGGCGGAGATGGCAGTGAGCCGAAATCGCCCCACTGCACTCTAGCCTGGGCAACAAGAGCGAAACTCCGTCTCAAAAACAAACAAACAAACAAACAAACATTTGTCATTACCTCAGTGTCTTACTGATTATTATTACTTCTAGTATCACAGCATCTCTCTTCACCCTGCTTAAAATGTCCTACCCAGGACCAGGTGCTGTGGCTCACAACCTGTAATTCCAGCACTTTGGGAGGCCAAGGTGGGCGGATCACCTGAGGTCGGGAGCCCAAGACCAGCCTGACCAACATGGAGACACCCTGTCTCTACTAAAAATACAAAATTAGCTGGGCTTTGTGGCTCATGCCTGTAATCCCAGCTACTCGGGAGACTGGGGCAGGAGAATCGCTTGAACCCAGGAGACGGAGCTTGTGGAGAGCCGAGATCGCGCCATTGCACTCCAGCCTGGGCAACAGGAGTGAAACTCCGTCTCAAAAAAGAAAAAAAAGTCCTACCCAGCCAACCAATCAGCTGAATGTTTTGCTGGGTTTGTGGGAGAAAAAGTGCCTGCTTGCTGGGCAATTAGTTTCAGTTTGCAGATCAGTGTCCATGTAAACAAAAAAGGGTCCTAATTGAGGGGCAGGCAAGAGCTCCCAGCTAGATCCCCATGAAAGAAATTATTATTAACTCAAAAAGCATCTATAAGACCTATCCAATCAAATAATATATTATCAATGGCACTTAGTTCTTACAGGAACGTTGAAATTAAAAAATACTGTACAACCATCTTCTCAAATGCCAGGGAATCCAACTTTGCAAGCCAAACCAGTTGTCTCAAATTCAATTATAAGTTTTCCTTCTGCCAAAGAGATATGTTTTCTGTTTAAAGCAAACTGGAGCCCATGCTCCATACTTGATCAGATCATGGTAGAGTCAGTTTAGCCGCTGAGAACTAGATACTGGCAATCCAGACTGAATTCACAGAGAAGTACAAACTACCTAATATTTAAAACACAGGAAAGTTATCGAAACTGGACATCCTTCTAAAAATTTTTCACCCAAAGACTACCACAGACATAAGTATAATGTTCGTTCATGAAAATTACTAAAAGCCTTGAACAGTTCAGATGACAAATATTATTCAATCCGGCTTTACTGCAGTTTAAACTGAATTGGATTCTAAGCAACTCCAGTGAAAGTATTAGAGAATATAGTAAGTATATGATGGACTTAACAGAAATACTCTGTGCTGCTTCCTCTCTGTGCTTTTTAAAGTGAAGCCTAGAAGCAATCTAAGTGTCCATAAATAAGAGCTTGGTTAAATAAATTATGATACATTCTTACCCTGGAAAATGCAACTATTAAAAAGAATAAAGTAGGCCCTAGATACTGACTTTTTTTTTTAAAGTCCATGATACCTAGTTAAGTGAATACCACAAGTGGCAAAACATGTAGAGAATTATTCCATTTTGATTTTTTAAAATCTATTTTTAAATACCCTGTGTGTATGCTCATATATGCCCAGCAAAAACAGTTGAAAAAGATCTGACAAATTGCTAACAGTAGTAACCTCCAGGGACTGACTGAAACTAGGAGGCAGTGAAGGAGTGACTTTCCCTTTTTCCTTTGTGGACTTCTGGTTGTTTATATTTTTTTTGCCAGTAGGGGTAACCTCTGTGGTTGAAAAATAACAACATAAAAATAGTAAAAGTAAAATAAGATGAATTACACAGATCTACGTATCAGATACTAACCAAAGTGATCTTTCTTCTTAAATGCTACTGTATGCTTAAAACTCCAGAGAATCTAATTCATTCTTTTTCTATTATATTTTACTAAAACAAATAAAAATCACCACAAGTCCCTAATAGTTTTCTCAAATGCTTTCTATACACACACACACACACACACACACACACACACACCCACAGGCCTGGTCATAAGCATAGCTAACACACATGGAGCTTATTCTACACTAGGAACTGTTGTAAACACAGTAAGTGTTAACTTATTTAATCTTCCCAGCAGGCCTGGTGCAGTGAATCATGCCTGAAATCCTCGTAGTTTGGGAGGCCAAGGCAGGAGGATTGCTTGAGTTCAGGAATTCAAGACTAGCCTGGGCAATATAGTGAGCCCTCATCTCTACAAAAAATACAAAAAATTAGCTGGGCGTGGTGACTCACGACTATAGTCTCAGCTACTCAGGAAGCTGAGGTGGGAGGATCGCTTGAGCCTAGGCAGCAGAGGTTGCAGTGAGCCAAGATTGCACCACTGCACTTCAGCCTGGGCAACAGAGCCAGACCCTGTCTCAAAAAAAAAAAACAAAAACAAAAACAAAACAGTCTTCACAGCAACCTTATGGAAGTAATTACTACTATAATATTATCTTCATTTCACAATCGAAGAAACTGAGTCCAAAGAACTTCAGTGAGCCGCCTAAGCTTACACAGCTAACAAGGGGAAGAGCTAGGATTCAAACCTAAGAATAAACTCCAGAGTCCATACTCTCAACCACTATGCTTCCTGTCTCTCAGTAATGTCAGTCTTTCTATATGAAAGCCAAAAGGGGTTACAGGTAAAACCCAGCTAGCTAATGTGATCCTTGAAGCTGGAAGAGATGCACACTTGGCTTTTTATGGGTGAATAATCCTACTTATGTCATTGCCAAGCTCCAACCCAAGGCTCAAGACTGTATTAAGGCTCATAACCACGTGGGAAAATTCTCTACACACTCAATTATAGTCCAAAGTCCATACCTGACTCCACAGTAAATCACTAAGCCTAAGATTTAGGTCAGAGATTCAGCTAGACAAACGATTTGGACAAATCTCTACCCCAACTCAAAGCAAGAGAACTCAAACTTTTGCCCAACATCTTGACAAGGTAAGTTTTCGTTTTGTTTTGTTTTAGTTCTAGGCCCACTTTAGATTTAAACGGGGAAAGAATAGGAGTTGTCTCTAACTTTGGTTGAAGACTTCAGCAAGAAAAGCTTTTTCTACATGGGCTCAAACAGAAATTGGCATTTATCAGCATCAGCAAAGTTGAACATCCTGGCTTAAGGAGACAAAAATAGGCATCCTTGCTTAAATTGTGTATTTGTCCAAACATGTTGACCTTATAATTGTGTAAGAAAAAAATGGTGCGAGGAAGAGATTTAACCTAATTTGTAAATGTGCTCAGCCTAGATACACACCTGTCCCAAATGACCTACTGAATCCACTTATGTGCAGGGACAACATGAATTACAATGCCTTTTTTGTTTTTTTGTTTTGCCCTCAAGTGGTCCCTACTACTGTTTGTAAACAAAATCCTCTCACTACCTTTCTTCCACCTGTCATACACACACATCTGATATTTACATAAACAAGAAGAAATGAACGGGGAAACTGGAGCTCTGGGAGGAATTCCTTACCCTCAGCTTTTGACCCAGTGGTTGAAGGAGGTACTATGCGGGCTTTCAAACTTCCCCAAATAACCCAGGCAGAGAGGCTGGGTGCGCGAACCCAACCCAAAAGTTGGCGCCCATTCTGGGTCTCTGAAAAAGGCCAGAAAGCCCTGTTGGGAAGAAGATGAGATGCCTTCCACCCAGCAGCCACCCCCTCCCGAGGGAGCACAGCCCACGGGGGACAAAAGACTTTCCAGATTGATCGGGGGCGGGAGGAGGACTAGCTGGAGCTGGGATCCCCCCTCCGGAGCCAGAACCTGAGAAGTCTTTGGGGCAAGAAACGATAAATTATAGGCAAGAGCCCAACCCCAGATGCCGGGGCTGCGGTGAGGACGGGTCCTGCCCGAGAGGGAGCGCCGGACTCACCTGGAGAAGGCGAAGAGGGGGCCTCGGTGGCAGGTGGGGTTGGGGGGACGCTGCTGCTGCTGCTGCTGCTGGGGAGATCGAGGGTCGAGGTCCGGGGAGTCGTGGGCGCCGGTACGGTGGTCGCTACAGGGGTGGTCGGCACGGGGCCAGTGATCGTCGAAAGGGTGGTCGGCGGGGGTCTGGTCGGCGCCTGAGAGGTGGTCGAAGCGCGTTCCGCCGCCGGAGGGGTAGTCGGCGAGGGGCCGAGCGGCGCCTGAAAGGTGGTGGAAGCGGGTCTGGCTGTCGCCCGAGGAGGGGTGGTCTCCGGGGACTGGGCTGGAGAAGTCGCAGCCAGGGGTCGGTGGACGGTGGCGCTCAGGGGCCCGGTCCTCGGGGCCTGGGCCGTAGGAGCCGTCGCCCTAGGGAAGGGGTGGCTGGGCTCGCCCCGCAACCCAGGGCCCGGCGACGCGTCCACCTGCCCTGCGGCCCCGCTGCCACCGGTGACATTCCCCGCCGAGGCGGCTGAGGCGGCGGCGGCGGCGGCGCAGCACAACAGGGCGAGGCCGCCCAGGCTCGGCAGGCTCCTCATGGCGCGCTCGGCTCCGCCATTCATTCATTCAGCCAGTCGGTTGGTCAGTCATCTTCTCCTCGCTGCAATCCTACCGAGGAAGCTTCCGCAGCCGCCGCCGCCACCGGGCGCACCATCGCCACCTCCCTCTGACAGGCGGCCGGCCCCGCGGGCGGGCCCCAGCGCGGAGGGAGCGACCGGACCAAGCACGGACCGCCCGCCCTCCTCGATTGGCAGCCCCGCCTAACCAATGGGAGGCCAGGGTCGCCCACGTGATCCTCCCTCTTCCCGGCCTCTTTGTGGGCCCGTGGACCAATCAGAGGACGTCCAGGAGAGGAGGCGGTCCGTTAGGCGGGAGAAGGGTGGTGCGAGCGCAGCTCCAGCCCGGCGGGCTCGCGGCGGCCCCGGCTTTGTCTGCCCAAGGAGTGGGGCGCGGGCCTGGGGCACCGGGCGCCGCGGAGCAGACAAAGGATGCGCCCCGCGCGGCCGATGCCGGGCCTAGTCATCTGCTCCACCGGGCTGCGAGCACGACCCGGGGGTGGATCAGCACTCGGGAGCGTCTCCGCCCTCCTGAACAATGGGGCGCCGGCGCCGTACCCCGGCTCGGGCGGGGACCACGCGGGAACCCCGCGATGGGAGAAGACGGCGGCAGCGACGATGTAGAGCTTAACATGCCCTCTGCTGCTCCAGAGAGCCTGGTCGCAGCCTTGCGAGGTCTCTGCCGCCATTCCCATTTCAGAGATGGAGAAACTGAGGCCCTTGTTGAGGCCCTCTCTGAACCGAGACCCACGCCCTCAGCAGAAACCTGCTGTGGGCCAGGTTGTGTGCCAGGCTGGACGAGGGGGCGGGACCGGGCGGTGGAGACCCCTCAGGGCAGAAGGTGCAGGCCTCCTGCGTGGAGGAGACAGTCTCGCAAGCACACTTCCCTAAACCGCAGGAAGAATAGGATCAGACAGGGTTGAACCTCAACTTGATGTCTCTTGCTGAATGGTTTTGTCGCTTGAGCGCGGTTTTTTCACCACTAAAATGGAGACGATAGGACACCCCTCACCCCGCTCACAGAGCTGTTGTGAGAATTAAGTCATGGACATAAAGGGTTTAGCCCAGCCCCTGGCCCACTGTTGTAACCCTCATTATTGCTAACTATTCTCAGCATTCTGCGCCAGGGCAAGCCTAGGATTAGAAAGCAGCCCCAGGCCACAGCCCTTCAGTGCCCCCAGAGCCTCCGGCTGATTGCAGGGATTGGGGTGGGGCTAATAGCCGAGCTTGACCCTGGGTGACATTAAACCCTGGATCAAGCTGGAATTCGGACACGCAGCCTCGCATCATCCGCCCAGGATCCGAGCTAGGTCAGGCGCTGCTGCTTCGGCTCAGCAGCTTCCAGGGGGAGCCAGGCAGGGCGGGTTTGTCATCTGATGGGGCTTAATCCAAGCCCCACTGCTAACCCAATCGCGGCCTCCCCTACGTGATGTTTGGCTTTGTGTATGGTTTCCCATTAGTCACTGGTCTTCGACCAGACCGGCAGGATGAGATCTATGTGTGAACTTGTGTATGTTAATGAAAGCATGCATTTATTTTCCTGCATAAACAGTGGGTGGGGGAGGCTGTGTATGAATGCATAAACATGTTTGTGAGTCTTGTGTGTATGAGTATTGTATGTATCTGCGTGAGTTTATGAGTATGGGAAATTGTATCTATTTTCATACATTGTGTCTTAATAATCTGTGCATGTGTACTGGTGTGTGTTTTTGTGTATTTTCTGTGTTTTTGCATTTGTGGTTATGTATGGGTGTGTCTTGATAGGTCTGTGTATATAAGACAGCGGGAATGAGGGAGAAGGTGAGTGTTCTGTCTTCAGGACCAATATTTAGCAAGCACTAACCAAGGTTCTATTTTTACTTTGCTTTGTAAGTATTCCCTTGCTGATCCTCCCTGGCCCTTCAAACCCCAACCAAAATGCCACATTCTCTAAAAGACATTCCTGGATTTGAGTGGGAATTAATCTCTCCCCTCTTATTTCCCCACCACTCCTTGTTTATGCATTGATTACAGCCCTGATCTACCAATTTACCTCATCCTTGCCTCTTCCTAAAAGGATTAAGGATGGCTTTCAGAAATATATACAACAGGATAAATCGAATTGCCCACATGGCTTTATTACTTCTCATAGGCATAGGCATGCATCAGCCTTAATACTAGAACTTGTTATTTATGTGTCTGTCTCTTACATCAGCTGTTCTCCCTGTTCTCAGTACCTAGCAGGGGTAACACATGTAAGTGCTAACCCATGCTGGTTAAATTGAATTAATTGAAGTCTTGTGGTGCTTGTGGGAGGAGCTTGTGTCTTTAGAGTCAGACAGACTTGGTTCGTGACTGCCAACTCTGTGACCTTGGAGGAAACCTTTCACCTCTCTGAGCCTCAGTTTTCTTTTTTTTTTTTTTTTTTTTAATTTGAGACAGAGTTTCACCCTTGTCACCCAAGCTGGAGTGCAATGGCGCCATCTTGGCTCACTGCAACCTCCGCTTCCCAGGTTAAATCCATTCTCCTGCCTCAGCCTCCCGAGTAGCTGGGATTACAGGCACCCACCACCAGGCCCAGTTAATTCCTGTATTTTTAGTAGAGACGGGGTTTCATCATGTTGGCCAGGCTGGTCTCGAACACCTGAGATCAGGTGATCCTCCCGCCTAGACCTCCCAAAGTGCTGGGATTACAGACATGAGCTGCCGTGCCAGGCCAGTTTTCTCATCTATTAAATGGGGCCAATAAATCATCTCTCATTTGTTGAGCTAAGGATTGAGGAGAATGGTTTTACAGAGCCTAGCACACAGACAGTGCTCAAGGTGTGTAGGTTCATATTTTTGTTATACTATTGCTAACTTTGAGCCTTGTTGGCTGAAGGACCAGAGCAGAAACCCCTGCCCCATAAGTTCCCCATCAGGTGACATGGCCTGACAGTTGCCCTACCTGATATTTCCAAATGATATCTGAAAAGTGCTGGGTTGGCCCTGAGCTTTGCTGTATCAGAGGTTCTCTGGCAAGGGGGAAAAAGCTGATGCAGCTTCTTGGCCAGGAGAGACACAGAGCAAATGACTAGAAGACCTTGTCTAGTGATTCAGGTCAGCTCTCTGCCTTAGGCAAGGATCATCCATGCCAGGGCTTTTAAGATGGGATAATTAGCCTGTAATATGTATAGAAAATATTGAATTTTTTGAAAGATATTAGTAATTTAAATGTATTAATGTCCATTCAACATTTAATTCTTAAATTTCCTTAATCTTAAATCTTCCTTAATCTCTAAACTACAAGATGACTTTCTTAGGAATTATGTTTGTGTTTAAAAATTGGAAACACCTTACATATCTGCCATCAGAGAAAGGTATTATTATACCAGTTAAACTTAATCATATAAAGTCATTGTACGTGTAGCTATGAGGACAGTATAGCAAATATTAATAGTAATAATTGAGCTCATAATCTGTGCTAGACACTATACCAAGAGCTACATATGAATTATTTTGTTTAATCCTAAGAACCCCAGGAAGTAGGTACTATTGTGTCTTAGTCCATTCGGGCTGCTGCAACAAAGTACTGTAGATTGTAGCTTGTAGACAACAAAAAATATATCTCTCTCAGTTCTGGTGCCTGGGAAGTCCAAGATCAGGGCACCAGCAGATTCAGTGAGTTCCCTGGGTGTCCTTTAAAAGGACACTAATTCTATTCATGATGGCTCTGCCCTCATAACCTAATCACCTCCCAAAGGCTTCCAAATACTTTCACATGGGGTGTTAGGATTTCAACGTATAAATTTTAGAGGGACACAAACATTCAGTCTATAGTCTATTATTATCTGCATTTTACAGATAAGGAAACTAGGACACAGGTTAAGCAACTTGCCCATGGTCACTTAGTAAATAATAGAGCTAGAAATCAAACTGAGGCTGACTGGCTCCCACTGACACCCTTAACTATAAAGGGAAAATACTTATAATGGTAAGAAGAAAAGAAAAAAATTATAGCTGTGACACTCTGTGTAACAGAACATCAACTGGCACTTTTTCTGTTGCCCCAGAACTGTAGCTAAGGCCCATGAGACCTGGAGCCAAAGGCTTAGGGAAGGACCACAGAACAGCAGGAGTCAGAGAGGGCCTTGTTGGAGCCAATGTGCAGCCTGACTTTTCTCCTAGGCAAAGGAGATGCTGTAAAGGGCCCCATCTGATTTCTCACTTTATAGTCAGCACCTAGCACAGTGTCAAATACGCAGAAATGGCTCAAGAATTGTCTGTGAGCCAGGCGCGGTGGCTCACGCCTGTAATCACAGCACTTTGGGAGGCCAAGGTGGACGGATCACAAGGTCAGGAGTTCAAGACTAGCCTGGCCAGGCTGGGCACGGTGGCTCACGCCTGTAATCCCAGCACTCTGGGAGGCCAAGGCGGGCAGATCAGGAGGTCAGGAGATTGAGACCATCCTGGCTAACATGGTGAAATCCCGTCTTCACTAAAAATAGAGAACATTAGCGGGGTGTGGTGGCGGGCGCCTGTAGTCCCAGCTACTCGGGAGGCTGAAATAGGAGAATGGCGTGAACCTGGGAGGCAGAGCTTGCAGTGAGCCGAGATCATGCCACTACACTCCAGCCTGAGCGACACAGCAAGACTCCGTCTCAAAAAAAAAAAAAAAAAAAAGAAGACTAGCCTGGCCAACATAGTGAAACCCCATCTCTACTAAAAATACAAAAAAGTTAGCCAGGTGTGGTGGTGAACGCCTGTAATCCCAGCTACTCGGGAGGCTGAGGCAGGAGAATTGCTTGAACCTGGGAAGCAGAGGTTGCGGTGAGCCGAGATTGTGCACTCAAGCCTGGGCAACAGAGCAAGATTCCATCTTGAAAAAAATTTTTTTTTAATTGTCTATGAAGTCTTATGATGTGGCAGATGCTGTTCCAGGAGTTTTACATTCATAACACATTTATTCCTCAAAGACAAGGCTATCATCTGCACTTCAAAGAAGAGGAAACTGAGCCTCCAAGAGCTTAAGGGACTTACTTGCCCAAGGCCCTTGTGACTCAAAAGCCCAGGCTCTTCTCTATCACTACAGTCCATTAATGTGGCCGCTATGCGTTGCACATAGTAGGAGGTCAGTGAACACATACTAAAAGAAAGGCTACACATGCACC